AAAAACAACAACAAAATACTCAGCATTGGAGAAAGGAATATTTAGATGAAGATCAAACAGGACGGTGGTAGTGTGATGTTTACCGCTGTGTTGTTTTTTTGGGGGACCTTTGAAGCTTCCAGCATTTAACGGATGGGACTATTACTTCTTAGCCTGATAAACCAGACTAAATGTGAGATTAAATGTCTAATTTAGTCCAGCCCTGATGAATGAGACATCGGAAGATTGTTGATGAGAACAACCCGTTGTTTTTCAAACCATGTCTGTGTCTATTGGCCAACGCTCTGACCAATGAGCGCAACGTACTGTGACGTAGTAAGTGCGACAGAAAGCTGGTGGGGGAGTGTAAACAAACAGCCTGTCAGTAAAACGGCGAATACGTCCTTCTTAAAAATGAATGAGCATAGAGCCTCTTCCTGCTCACGTTTCAACGAAAACCCCAAGTCTAATCCTTCCAAAACTGATTCCAAAGCTGAGTCAAATGAGAACTGTTCAACAGTTGTTGCCATCTTATTGCGCTTTCTCCAGCGTTGCGCAGCTTTTCGTCACGCCCTCAAATCCCCACCCACATTGCATCCAGAAATTCATAACACATCTCTACTTTGTCATTGGCCTGCCAGTTCTAGGGCCTGGGGCATTGATCGAGACTACAGTAGACAACTCGCAGGGAAAAATGGTTTTGGCTGCTGGCTTCTGGGGCTGGTTTGCTAGGCTAATTACTTCTGCTTTCCCTCACAAAATCCTAAAGAGGAATGCCTGACTATTTGTTGGAACCTTGAATGCAACAGGGCAATAATTTGAGGCACAGCATCAATTCCACCGCTGAAAGATTCTGCAAACAAATAAATGAAGTTTAAAATTTGGCTTCCCTTGTGCTTCTGACTGATGTTTCAATCTGTCTCCACGGTTACCTTTGTTAAGGATTATTACGCTAAATAGATACCTGCTAAAAATTGTCTTAGGGAAAATCATGTCATGCAATGTCAGGAAGTCAGATAGATAAATGTCCAGAAGATGAAACCAAAATTGAAGTTTATCTTGCATCATGTGATGACCTGTAGAAACCAGGCAAACTGAAACTAAAATCTCCAGATCTAATTTCTAGATTTCTAAGAAATAAGTATTAGGCGTAAAGTATTTTAAGTGATTGTGTTCAGGAGTGGAGACTGACAAGTTTGAAGTCAAAAAATCTTGCATTGTTCTCCTATAACTGATAAAAGAGTCCCTTATCCAAAGTCACAAGGTGATGCAAAACATTAAGCGAGCAGGCTGTCTAGAACACACATTTCATTCTGCTGTATAAAAATTGAATGTATTCAAATGAATATCTAGTTTTGTTCAGTTTTTTCTTTTCGCTGTGGCTCAAAATGTTGTTCTGCATTTTGGAGTTTAATATTTATGGTTGATATAACTATTATCAATAATCAAGCATATGTCTTTTGTGAGTTATTTACCAACTGTTACAATGTATGTACTAATCTATGGTATTAAATGTCTATATGGTCTAAAATACTCTAAATAAATGAGTATATGTTTAAGATTTAGGTATAAACTCTGACACATGATTGATATTGTTGTTGCTCTGGCTCTATGTTATAAATCATTGTCCATAGTCTTTTGCAGTGTACCTCCATTAATCTTCACATCAACTCATAAGAGTTATCTTACCTGATAAAAAAAAAGCATCCCTACATCACCATGCAACCAACACCTTGTTTGACTGTGTGGATCCATGGATATAATTTGTGTTCATTCATTTTGACTTGTGTTTAGGTGAAAACGTATATTATTTTTTGTCAAATCGGACCAGAGCATCTCTACAACTTGCTCTGCCCCATGTCTTTTGTCCACCTTTCAAATAGGCTCCGCATTGTTTTTTTTTTGTTTTTTTTTTATAGCAATGTCATTCATGTCCAGAAGTTTTTGCTGCATAGAGAAAAACATATTTTTTAAAATAAACATCTTTCAAGTGCATGAATTCAACTATTTCACATTCAGGATTTTTTTTTGTAAAATAAACATCTGCTTTCATTCTTTTTTTTTTGGTCTGACTTTATATTAAAGTTGATAAAATAAATTTAGAATATTTTTTAAGGTTAAAAAAAAAACATCCTTGCACTGCAAAAAGAGTCTAGAAATAAGTAAATGAAGTGTATTTACCCTTAATTTGAGAAGGTAAATAAGATGATATGCAAATGGTATGAGCATTTTAACTCTCAAAATAAAATAATTAGATAATATGCACTTGGAATAAGAAAATGTAATTGCTTTTTTCTTATTTTAAATGTAAATTGTCTTGTCCCACTGGCAAAGCTTCTCACCTCCTCAATTCAAGACAAACTCAACCTATTTTTTGAAAAAATGACTCATTAAGTTAATTTTTTGCATTCAGAATTCAGAACATCCCTTTAAAATAGTCAAGGAAACTTGTTTAACCAATAATGTATCTTCAGGAATGTATTTTCTTTAAGGGTGTCACACTGATTATCTCCAAAAATGAATTGCACTTTGGAAATACAAAATGAATCAGGATAAAGATTTGTAAATTGTTTAAGAACTAATTGTGAAAATCTGGAAATGATTAATAGCAATGAAGTACTGGAGTTACTTAAGGTAAAACATAAAATATCACATTTTAATAAAGTTATTGTGAATAGCGCAGAAGCTCGCAGCAGCCGGGGCCCATTTCCTCTCTATATTCGTTTGGCTGTCTTCTGTGCGCCGTAAATAATCCTGATAAAGATTCCCCAAACCCCCCCTCCAAAAAAAAAACAAAGATGACTTTCACGTCCCCATCCCTCCCTACCCAGACTGATTTAACGTGACCTCCGTTTCCAAATGATATTGGAAGGCCGTTTAAACAGATGAAGGCTTAAATTGTCTTGCTTGTATGCGCATTAATCTCCCATTCATCATCATTACTTTGCGATCGGTCCGTTCACGCCTCCGCCAGTTTTTTTTTTTTTTTTTTTTGCACCACGACGGCGCTCTGTAAATTAGGATGTAATCCAATTTAACCAGCAGCGGCAGCAGCCACCGATCCCCCCCTCCCTCGCTCAGTGGACAGCTGCACTGCACCGCCCCTATCAAAACGCTTTGTGTTTTAGTTGTGGGAGCTGAGGGAACCCTCCACCAATCCTCGCTAATAGGATCTTATAAGTCGGGTGTAATTGCTGTTTTACGCGCAATCTATACAAGCCCATCTTCCAACTCAGTCATCCTAGTGCAATTAACTGTCTGCACTGATGCTGCCGCTGAGGATATGCTCGCATCTATATGTGCGGCTGGGTAAATGTGGTTGTAATTTGCCTCACTTTAATGTGTCATTTTGGCAGGCTCTGCTTTGCAGATCTAAAAAAAAAAAAAAAGAAGAAAAAGAAGAAGAAGAAAAAGAAGCCCAAACCGTTCAAAACAAGATATTTGAAAGAGCAGCCTGATTCTCATCTTGTTTTAATGCATGCTTAAAAAAAAAGAAAAAGAAAAAAAAAAGAAAGCAATTTTCCTGCTTGACCCTTGTTTCTGTATCAGCCTGATAGTTTACATAAATCTGCCCGACCCGGGAGGCTTAAACGCTGTATTATTCCAAACATATGCATTTTAATCAGCTTGGTCACACTTACAAGGACTCCAGTTAATAAGGCCATCAATCAAACGCGTGTAGTGGAGAGAGAGGGTGGGGGGGAGTGAGGAGGAGTGGGTAGGGGGTGGGTCACTGTGCAGGGGGTTTATTATTTTGTAGAATACAACATTTTTATCTAAAGAAGCGAGATAAGAAAAGCAGTTTTATGATATTTGGTGGAATATTTTACTCCCATTTACATCTGAAATGGGTTAAACTAATCATTTTAATTTTCTATATATGCTATATATATGTTAGTTATTTTAATGCTGAGTCTCAGGGCTTACGTCTATCCTTTTACAGTTAGGTTAGAGAGCGATTTAAATATGTAACAAAAAAAAAATAGCAATAATAATAGTTTTTTTATATATGTAGGCCTACACATAAAAGTATTAGACCTGACAAGCCCTTATGAGCTGCGTAAAAAGCACTCAGTTCTGCAACAAATGTTAACAGATGTTATTTGTTTTGTTGTTTGTCCATGGACAAACAACAAAAGTAATTTGCCAAATGTAAACATAAGCTTTAGAATGTGTTAAAATATTTGTTGTATAGGAAAATGACATATTATGATATATAGTTGTTCAAAATAGAAGAGTTTAACAAATGCACATTTACTTTAAATAAATGTGGTAAAACTCTTAAGTAGTGTCAGGTAATGTGAAAGTAGACATTATGGTATAATGTTTTTCTTTATTTTGCTTTTATATTGATATTGTGCCTAAATAAACTTAACATTGTGACATTGATTTACTTGTATGATGATTAAAACGACAACACATCTCAATGGTTCCATAATGGCTGACTATTTTAAATTTTGTATTATTTTAATGCTTAATGCAAAATAATAATTCACATAGCCTGGTATAATTTAACTAAGCTACTGCATACCTAAGTGTGTTTGAGTTATTCTACAGATCATAGGTCTCAAACCCTTTTATGTGTGGCTGTGAAGACCGGCCTATTTTAAATATCTCCTAACGGGGTTTTAAATAGCAATACTGAAGAAATCAAAAATGTTTTCAATTTAAAAGACAAACATTTATTCAGTAATAAAGGAAAATAAAAATGTAACTAGAATTGCAAGCAATTACAAATGCATTTAATGGGTCATTCTAAAAAAAAGAATAATATAGTTTGCAGTTTATAATAGCTGTCTCTGCTGCAGTCACATTATTGCTCTATGAAACTGCTGACTAATTATCAAACTTACAAACAAGTCAGATATATCAGTTTCTCTTGGCAAAGTATTTGCTTGTATTTATTTTTTTTTCAGGTTCCCGAATCATCAAGGCCCTTTCAAATTAAAAGTGAAAATCAAAATGACAACATCACGATAAAAAAAAAATAAATAAAATGTAGGCCTATTTTTAAAGGCACATTTAACATCTACATCCTACCCCTTAGATGTATCCGTTCAAGTGCAAAGAACAAGTGAAAATAGTTCAAATGGTAATTGGTTTTATTGTTTATTTTTGCTGCAGTTACGCAGTCATCCAATATCACAATGTCCAATTTCAATACAAAATACTAATTGAAAATAAGGACTAATCTGTGATATCAAATGCATTTTTAAAGCTTCCAAATCTGCGCGCAATCTCTGCGGGCCTCGTGTTTTCCCTCAATCCCATGAAAACCGCCTTCATTTGCTCATCCCTGCAGCCAATTAAGATCACACTGATTGTTTGCGTTCTTCCTTAAAAGATCGATGCTTCTTCGTCTCTCTCTCTCCAATACCCAGACAACTAATTCTGTTTCTATTAAGTGGTTCAAGAGAAAATATGAGTGGCGTTAACGGAGCCCGGGGACCACTTAGCTGTCACGGTCAATCTTTCAGTCCCGTCAGGAGATATAGTGGAGGGTGTCTGGGGGCCACGGTGGGGTGTTTTGACAGCGATCACTTGAGAGCTAAAATAGTGTTATTATCAAAAGAAGAAATCATGGGAATTTGTCCTGAGTTAAAAAGGAACGAAAAAAAAAAGTGTCTGAAATGGAAATAATGCAGGCTTGTTGAAGAATTTTAGGCTTTAAAAATGACACATTGATATAATTTATTACAAATCAGATATTACAGTCTGAAAATCATGAACAAATAAGCACAAATAATAATAACAATAATAATAATAATAACACAAAACGAATAAAGAGAACACAACAAAATATAGAGCTACCCAAAACAAACAGTGGACTTTTATAACCTTCTTTTGTAAAGTTATTTAGGGTCGGTCAGTTATTGCGTTCATTAAAAATAATAAAGAAAAAAGTCGCACAATTGTAATTTTGAGATATCTAATTTTAACTCAAATAACAACATTGGGTGTCAGACAAGTTTAGCCAATTCTATGTGGTCGATTCACCTTTTACAAACAGGTTATGTCCTTAAGTAGACACATTTTTGCTTTCAATTCTGAAAACCGATGAAAGATAAATATATGTCTTGTCAAAAGGACTTTATTTTCCAACCACAGGTCGATTTTCTATTTAAGCGTAGACATAAAAAAATCTATGACTTGATTTCATTTGATCGGATATAAAATCGGTGCGTCATAATATCAAGGGAGGAATGCAAAAAAAGGAAGAGTGCTTGGTGTCTTACTATTTTCTCCTCATTTTGATTGTCCCCTCTCCATCCTCCTCTGGGTCCCCCTCCCTCCCCGATCCATCTCCTGCACCAAGCAGTAAGCGCTGTGCAGTAATCCGATCCCTCGGCGCCTTGTTATACCTTTTGGCAGCAACGATCCCTTTCTGCTAGTATTGCCATTAATTCAACGACTCTTACATATACATCACTTACTAATTTTACTTGCATGTGCACATTTCGGCCCGTGCCACCGACGCCGCTGCCTCCACCAGGACCCCGATGTTGAGGGTTGCTTCTAATGAGATGGCTATAGTCTGCTTTATAGGAAAAAAAATCCCCTAGTTAAAAAAGAGAGATGGAACGCATCAGTCTTGCGTAACTTACAATAGGCCTACAGGTAGACTGTTTTGGAGACAAGCAATAACAGTAATATAAGATTTCAATGGAACCATTAAAGTGATCTTCTGGAAATCCCTTCTTTCTTTTTTGTATTTTTATTTTTCTGCCCTGGCTATGAAAGGGGATGATATTCTAATTATGGTAGATCCGTTGTGCGCCTGCTTGTTCACCGATTTCTTCATGCTGTTTTAGTCCTGCTCCGATAACGCAGACAGATTTACTTTGTTTGGTTTCATCTGGTCAGAGGCACCTCTTCCCTTTGGTCTAATGTCACAGGTGAAGATTTGCTGAGAATTGATGGCGTAAAAGTGACAAAAGCGTCCGTCCTGCTCGTAGGAGTGCAGGGAAAGTCCGAGGCGGCTGGCCTGCTGGCGATCCCATTGGACTGACTTGTGTGGCAAGCCAGGCAGGAGCAGGGACTCCCACCCGGGCCGAGACCATGGGTCGGTCCTGATGGGTATAAGGAAGGGTGCCTGAAGGAGCATAGAAGCTCTGGCCTCTGGTAGGGGTGAGACAACATTCGGAAACTGTCAAGGGATCTCAGCGGGGTTGAAAAGGGCGTGGCACCGGGGGCTGGGTTGCCTCCAACACCGACGCTCAGAGGTGAGTAGTAGGGCAGAGGCAGGTGCGAAGGGAAGGGGTAGTGTAGGTTCCCTGTTGCCGCAGCGTGGCTCATCATGTAGGTGTAGAAGGCCGGATCGGCGGGGTGAGGCCACGTCATGGCCAAGCGCTGGCGTTTGTCTTTCATTCTGCGGTTCTGGAACCACACCTGCAACAGAGACACATTGGGTCAAATATTAACCACAGCCCTCCCTCTGACCAACAACAACAAAAAGCTGGATCAACAGTGCTTCCGCTTTTACGCACACAGGCCCAACTTCCAATTAACTAATTTCTTCCAATAGATTGGGAAAAATGGAAAATGTTTTTCAAAATCACGTCGTGCAACTCTTAAATATGCCCCCCTTTGTGCATCTGACCCGTGATTCTCTTTTTTTTTTTTTTTGTGTGAATTAAGCCAAACATATTGACATTTCTACTAATAAAAATCTTACTTTAATGGTGGTTTCGGGAAGATTTAGTGCAGCCGCCAGTTCGCATCTTCTTGGCCTGGACACGTAGTTTTCCCGGTAGAACTCCTTCTCCAGACGAGCGATTTGCTCCCGGGTGAACGCTGTTCGATACCGGCGGATCTGGTCCGCTCCATAGGCCAGAGAGCCCTGACCCTGGACTGTCTTACTCGGATCTGCACCGGTCTCACCCGGAGAATGACCAGGGGAATCTACATTTCGACCTGAACCAACATGCACAATAATGCATCATTTTTAAAAGGCAATAAAATGATATAAGCACAGGTGCAGTTATTATTTAGCCATATTTCAAAGGTCATTTCGCTATCATAGCATAGATACATTTGAAAATGTAAATCAGCTCCACTATTACAGGGCCTGTCTTACATACATCTGTAACATGGCTTTCTTCATTCACATTTTATGCAAACAACACATAGTTAACAATACCTTGATATCAATATGGTGAAAAAATCTCATGCACTTCTAAATGTATTATTAATGTTTGCAGGCCTAGTTCCAATATATGATGCTCAGGTTTTGCACATTGAAAAGAAAATCATTATAAAAATGATTCATAATAATTCCAGTATTATATCCTGCAAAGGTTTATTTCCTGTGGTTCAGGCTACAGAAAACTATATTTTCTGCCCTGTTATAGTAAAAGAAAACACACAGGAAATGTTGCTGCCAAAGTCAGTGATGAGAATTTTTGGTTGGATTGTGGGTGTCACCGCAGCATTTTCAGCCACTTGACAGAACAGCTGCAGTAGATGTTATTGTTCTAATTTTAGAACAGGATTAGCCATTTTCGATTTTATTTAGTGGTGATACATTTAATGTTTATAACCAAATGCAGGGATCGATCATTGGGATATTTATAATTGCTTGCATGCAAACACACACTGGAAAACAGCGTCCTACCATTAACCGTTGGGTAGTCCATGCTCTCAGGCGTGCAGCTCACATCGATTTCCTCATAGAAGTCTGACTCGTTGTCCGAGCTGCTGCCGTCTTTGTGATGCCTTACCCCGGAGGAGGATACGGGGAGCGATCTGGCGTCGGCACACATGCTCCTTTTTGCGCTCTCCTCCGGCACCAGCTCCGTAGTCCTCTCCCGGGAGTAGGGCGCAGTGCCTGGGCTCAGGCAGCTCCTATGGACCGGTTTCCCCTGCGGTTCTCGAGTGGAGATTCCGTTGGCTCCCTCCGCCGACCTCACCACCACCTCCTCTCTGCTTTCCATCACCGGATCTGAAAAGCCTCGACTTCGCGGGAGAGCGAGAGGAGCCAGGAATGTGAGGAGGTAGAGGTTCTCAGCTTGGGAGGCGGATGGTGGGGATGAGAGTGTTTCTTGGAGGCTCGTGGAAAAGAATCAATCCGGTGTGACCCTCAGAAAGGAGCGCTGCAGAGTGCGGAGCCGGAGCTCTGGGAGGGATCACCATTTACCCTCTCTCTCTTTCTCTCTCCCCTTCTACAGAGCTGTCATTTTTAACAGGCCAATCTTCAGGATGGTCCCCCCCTGATGACGCCACGCATTGATTAGAAATGTGGGTAAACATGAGGGAGAGAGGCGGGGTGGGGGGTAGATGACAGTTGGTCTATTTCAAACCAATGCACTGTATCTTTACATGCATACAGGTACCTCATTTCCCTTCAGTAAAAAACGTCATATCAGTGTTAGGACTCCTGATGCAAACAATAAAAAATAACAGAAAATACAAAGTGTTTTTTTTCCCCCTTAATCTCATTGCTATGAATAGCATTTTTTGTATTTCATTGGTAAAGAATGTAATTGAATACCATTCGATATTTAAGCACATTTAACAGAATGTTAATTCAATATTATCAAACACAATTGTCTATACCTCTAGTATACCCATCCATCGCCCATTTGGACTCCTTTCTGTAAAACCACCACTAAAATCACCCCCCATGGACATGATTTATGCACGCACCTTAGTTTAGTTTTGTCTTCAACTTAATGTTTCTTTTTGCAATAACTTAGTGCAATATATATGTTTATATATACTTCTTTACCCTGTATATAGCTAGCTCTTAGCTCTTAGTTATAAAAAACATTTATTGTGCAGGAATAATGTCTTAGCTTTGTTACACTGGCAGCCAAGTAATCAACATTTCGTTGTCAAGAATCACCTTGTGTTTTTGTGCAATGACAATAAAGGAAGTCTAAGTCTCTAAAGTGATCTATCTATCTATCTATCTATCTATCTATCTATC